ATCACTGTCTTCTCTTTGGCACTTTATAAACACAGGACCTCACTAACTTGTTTAGCCTTGCTCAACATGAAAGAAAGTTTGATTTGACACTTTTTAAAAAGTAGAAACGGAAGAATGCTTGCATTCACTTAAAAGAATTAATACCCTAGACTGCTGACTGATTGAACCTCTGAAGTGTAATTTTAAAATGGAAATGTTAGTAGAGTATCCCTTTATTGCCATGAGTTTGTAGAGAGAGTAGGTTTGGATATTTTCCGTTTTTCATATTGACATTGGTGCTTTTATCAATTTAAACACACTAACATTAAAAACACTAAAAGGCATGTAGCTTTCAATAAAACTCATTTTTTATGTCTTCAGCCCATATAACCAAATGAGCTGCTTTAACTTTTTTTAAGCAGAAAAGATTATAAAGCTAAATGAAAAGTCCCAGAGCTTAGTTTTAAGACTAAATGGTATTTTAGATGAAACAGTTAAGGAAAGCACCGTTTGTAACTCTGAGATAATGGCTTAAATTTATCTTTATAATATGAGTATTCTTCCTGGAGCTGCAAAATTGATAAACACACTTTCAATTCTCACTGGCATGAGCTGCAACAAGCTAAGTGAGACCAGAGATGCTGTTATTGAAGAGCATTTGATGATTATTGGGGAGGATCATTCCCAACTATACCACTAGCATGCTGGTAGACTGTGGACAAATTGCTTCTGTATTTCTGCTTTCCAGTCTGCCAATCAAAGATAATAACTTACACTTCTAATGCAAGATCTGTTGTTCCCTAAATAAGAGATATTGTAAGCTTGCCTATCATTTTGCCAGTTCAGCTGGTTTCTTGAAATAGCTCATGTTGAGAGAAAATTAGGAACAGAAAGGTACCAGACAGAAATAAGTTTATTTGAAGGTCTTGTAATGAAGAAAGGAAAGTACTCACATAACTACAGAATGAATAAAATAGTGATTAAAGCAAAGTGCAGTAAAGCAAAATGTGCACACCTAATAGACCATAAACAACGTGAAAGACACACAGAGCAGCAATAAAGAAAGACTTATTAAGACATTTAAAAAGCACTGATTAGGGCCAGCAAGGAACACTGCCAGAAAAGGTGTGCATTTACATACATACTTGCACGTGCATGTGTGTGCATGCATACTACAGTCATGCAGAAAGAGAAATATCTAACAGCCTTTAGACTGGAAAGAAACTTCAGAAGTCAGATTCTCTTGGTGGTATTTCATTGCTTGACCCTTCCAATAGAATGCAATTCACAAATGAATTAGGGCTGTGGAGAGGGAAGATAAAGACTTGCACAATAAAGGGTACTGCTTTTTCTAAAATTCATTGCAGTTTGTAATTATAAATACATATAATTAGGTGACTTAGATCTCACAAAATGACCGCAATGCTGATTTCTGCATGACTTGGCTATGCAACCAAAATATGCAATGTAAATCAGAAATTAATTACCCTGAGGATTCAGAAACTAATTCTAAGACTGTTTATTTGAGAAATAAGGAAAAAACAGTCATGAATTTGGCCAATTATTCCAGAAGACAGAATTACTGCTGTTTATATTGAACAAGGAGTTCAATAACCAATGAGGTGTTTCTTCTCCCAGATTTGTATCTCAGCTGACCATCAACTCTAGCTGCATATTTCCTTGTGGTAAAGACATTTCTAAGGCTTTTCTCAAACTAACTACCAGTAAAAATCTAAGCTATTTTTTTTTGCATCCTTCTTTACAAGTAGGGGCACTGAGTGTCTTCCTCACCTGCATTCTCACTCAGCTGACCTCCAAGGAAGCTGTTTGACACGGTTATCTTTCAATATGCTATTCCTCTATTCAAAAGTTATTTGTTCAAAAGCTGTTTGGATGAGCAGGAAGAAAGAAGAGGAGGATAAAGGCACAGAGACATGGAAAGTAAATTACACAACTTAATCCCTTTGGAACAAAATATTGCCTGCATATGTTCAAGTGAGCTCAAAAACCTCCATGACATAGAACTTCTGTAGGGGTGATAAATCAAAGCTGAAATTTTATCCATTCAGTATAGCAGATAAATGCTAACTTATTCTCTGACCAATGGAGGGATGCCTGTTTTAAATACCTCAGCTACTCACACTTGAATTTCATCCAGACAAACTAGCTCATGGGATTGTGGCTCCATGGTATACGTTGAAAGCAATTAATTTCCCAGTTTAACATATTGGTACCCAGAAACAGCAGCAAACACAACATGACTGTGGCATCAATTTTTTAAAGATACTAAAGAGATACTTTCCTTGTTTTGTAACTTCAACTATAAATCACGGGAAAACAAATCTGTAGTGTCTCTTTGTCTTATTCCTCTTTGACAAGTGCTTTAGATAGACTGGGGAAAAATCAAAACAGGAGACAAACATATTTTTTTCTGGCACCAGGAAGATATATTCCACCTAGTTAATAGTCTCAGTTAAAAGGAAAGCTTTTTTGATATTTTACAGAAGGGAAAGAACTCCACTTTGTGACATGCAAGTTTGTACTTGAGGTCAAAAAACACAAATGCAGATGAAGAACTCCTTCTTTATTCACTTCTAATTTTCAGACCCTGGACCTTTTCTTCTCAGCTGTGTGCACCTCTCAAGTGACCACATAACTCAATGACAGCTTTCTTCGCTGAAAAAAATTTGCATTTTCCTTAAAGATTTTAGTCTGTGGCTGGAACAGTCTGTTGTCTTACCACTTGGCATTTTTTTGTGGCAGAATGTTACCCATAAAAAAACCTAAATTAAGTGCAAGTGTAGGTATTTAAAGAGGCTACAGTTTCAGAAGAGTCAAGAGGTTGCATCCATAAATTGAGGCCATTCAGGACATTCTGAAGAACCACCAAACCTCCTACTAAAGAATTATATCCAATGCTTCTGAACAAAGGGCAAAATTAGAAACTGAATAATTTATAATTTATAGAGTTGTAGTACAGTTTTGTCTTAAAGTTTCACATTTTATCTCCCTAAATGACTAAGAAGTCTCAATGACTTCTTCAAATTCCTTAGTCAGAGAATGCAGAAGACCAAAAGTAGAAATGCATTATGCTTTTTCTAGTGTGCATGAATAAGATAGCATCTTATTATGTTTTATGGAACAGGCACAGCAAACAAGAAGTAGCTAGCATTTAAAGAACATCGTGCTTAGTTTTAGAAAATTTATCTGTGTTACTTCTTGCACCTCTGAAAAACTCAGATTGTATTTAAGGCAATCTCTTACATGTAACAGCATACACTTATAACGGAATTGAAATCTTAGGCTTAGTGTGTTGGCATGAACACTACATAATAACTGCAATTACACTCAGGTTTGTATTTTACAAAATATCATCAAAGGTTACAATGTGATATCCTTCAGCCAACTTAACACAGCTTTACTCTGAGAGTGATCACAGAATTCAAACTTCTACAAATAGACTACTTATTGCTTAAACACACCTGCTGTAGCTGTCATGGTCCCATTGCTCTTATTTTAACCACACACTGATTATTCATCATAAAACCTCCTGTAATAGCTTAAAAAATTTCCCTCTCTAGCAATAGCTGGGATTGGATAATGAACTGAATCCAGGAAACATTTAAGTTCTTCTTCATTGTAAGGACATTCCTATTAAGAGGAAAGCACCTTACTTGCCAAATTCAAAACAAATCCTAGGCAGAGGTGGGCTCATCTGTTCCAATGGCACTCAGTACCATTCCTTTCCTAGATGGAAAGATACCCCTCTGAGCTCTTGTGATGACAAATTACAGGGGAAAAGAAAATAAACTGTTTTATAAAGACTTTCCTGGCTCACAGCCAGACAGGTAAGTGTATGGTGAAACCATTCCATCTCTGTCTATAATGATGGGGAAAAAAACCCCTAATGAACAACAGTGTTGTATTGAGATGCAATTGCAGATGGGCATTGTGTGACAGCACTCCAAAATGTCCCATGAAATTTATTGTCTTTAGAAAAACAGGAAGTTTTAAAACAGCTTAAGCAAAAACTGGTGAATTTTTTATCAGCCTGGAGTGAGGAGGGAAGAAAGAGAGAAGGGTATTGGCATTTCAATCCCTTGATGCTTTGTTGCAGTATGGCGATCTCAGAAAATCAGGCAACTTTGTTATCCTGCTCCAATGAAAATGGAAAAGAGGTTTACACGTCTCTTTCCATGTTATGCTATTGTTTACGTTTTCTTACATGCCTCATGTGTAAACCCTTTACTCGGGGTAAAGGATGCAGCAGCTGCTCCCTCTCTTCACTCATACATGAAAAGCAGAAGAGAGAAGTCAGCTCATATTAATGACTATTCCATGGGGAGGATAGGGCAATCCCAAGAGCACATCTGCTGCTGACTCATCACATTTGAAATTCCCAAGAAATTTCAACTGTGCATCTAAGAGACAAAACAAGTGGGCCTCCAAAACGAAACTGTGGAAGGAGAGGGGGAATGTTGCCTCCCTTGCCTTTCCAATGAAATGAGCTGGACAACTCCATATGGCTTCTTTTAAGTTTAGTGCACTGGTTGCTCTGAAAAGCCAGCCTTTGATTCCAGAGGAACATTTTACAGAAAAAGGTATTGCTTACCATTTGTAATGTTGGATTTCCCCTCTCCATTTCACCTTTGAAAGGGGGAGAGAAGGGGGATGAAAATCAAGGCTTAGTGTGCCAAGACTTGAAAATATATTTACATGCTGAAGTTGGACTCTTGCTTTGAACACTAGCCACAACAGCCTTCTGCACTTTGGGTAGTTCATTAACAGAAATCAATACAAGCTGCCTTTTCAGAAAGTTAACACTTGTTCATCGACACGCTTTGTAATTTCTTTTAGCAGAAGCATCAATGCTTACAAGGTGTGCAGTAAATTATGGCAAAACTGCAGAAGGTCAAGGCTACTGAAAATAGTTTTATTTCAGAGCAAACTTGAAAGGTAAACCTAAATACAATGAGAAAAATGGTAGATACTAAGAAAAACAGAAAATGTGTTGTCTTTACCTGGAGGCCTTTCTTCTCTATCTTTTTCTGCAGTATTTGAAGGCACTTGGTGAAATCTGTGAGGTCTTGGTCCATGGTCTCAATTAACTCACATCCCTAGTGAAGAAGCAACAAAACAGAGAGAGAAAAAAAAAATAAGCATTTTTTCAATTTTGAGATTTAATGACATCTTTGGTGAAATTAACTGCAGACAACCACTCAGAGTCTCTTGCATGGAGATGCAGGATTAAGTAGAAGTCCCTTACAAAGTCCAAAGACAGTAGGTCCCAGCTGATCTAGTTACTCTAAACCAGCAGTTTGATAGGTCCAGGAGATATATTCAAAGCCCATTGAGTACATCTGTGAGTTTGGATAAACATGTTTTACAGTGCTCTGCTAGATGGACAAGTTTTGGTGTAGTGAGCCCTGGGTGGGTAAGTAATTTTCAGGAAAATGACTGTCCTCATGCTTATTGTGTCTCTGCTACATACATTCAAACCCATATAAATGTGAGCACAAGAAAGTGTTCAAGCATCACAGAAACAGTGCAGTTGTACTGCAGTTAATTTGCAGTGATTCAAAAACAGTTTCCTTGCACTGGTGTATTATGGCTGAGAACATGTTAAAGAGGAGCAGGAGTTCAGATTTCTTAACTGAGAGCTAAAGCAATTTCTAAGCCTCTGATGAAAAGCTGAGAAAGGAAAAGTGGAGTGTATCTACCACACAAAGTCACTTTTCAAAGAGGTTTAAAGAATAAAAAATTCCCAATACAGCATTGTGAATGAAAATAAAAATCATACACATTGGATTTAGAAGTTTCCTCTCTACCACTTCAAGATCCCCTTAAAAGCCTCCTAGCTTTGTTTTACTTGACAGATTTTATGTTTCTGCTATACACAATAACAACTGATAAGAGAAAAGCATTCGGAATATGTGTGCCTCTGTGTATAAAGTACATTAATCTGTTACATTAGAAAAAAACCCCGAACAACAAAGCCAACATAAAAATGTTAAAGTTGCTTTTACCCTGGTGGTAAAAATAAAGGTAAAGAAGACAAAATTTCCCAGATTAGTGAAGGCATGGAGTTTAATTGCATGCAATGAAGTAACAAGCTTCCAATAGGAAGACACACACTACCACTGAAATGCTTCCCCACACAGCCAGAATGCATATAAAACCCAATAAAAACATCAGGCAGTAGGGGATTTGGATAAAGCAGAAGAGAAAAACAAGAAGATAATAACAGGTTTTCTATTATACTTCTCAAAAACTTCTGAAAGAAAACCGGTCAAAAGTAGCAGCCTTTCTGAGATCTGATATTGTTCTAAATATTTTCTCAAGTAGTAATAATAGGCTTGCCAAGATGAAGCATGGTATAGCTGCAACAGCACATGTAATCAGAGACCTCCACTGCAGGAGTGATGCTGCTTCCCCTGCAAAGCAGTGAGGGAAAAGGTAGTTGGATTCTGCACTTCGTGCTAAGCACAAAACTCTTTGAAGAGCTGCCATATCTCCCCTCTTCTCTAGAAAAGGCCGAAACGTAAAATTGGCAGGAGGAGAAGTGACACAGGCCATCTGGAGCTTATAATGAACATGTGAGTTTGGCAACACCAGCCAGAGACACACAGGGAGCCCAGGAAAGGTATAGGGCTGTTCAGGAAAGCTCACAGTCAGATCTGAAAACTCCTGAAGGGAACTTGTTTATCAAAGCCACTCTAAATGAAAAGGTGTCTCATTCACTAAGGATGGGGTGCTCTCAGATAGTCTTGATATCAGCATTGATAGTGGGAAGAGAGACCAAGCTGTGAGAAACTGTGAACAGACAGGTCCTCAGTATTTCTAAGCCAGCCTCTGAGCAGCTTGAGAACAAGACAGATGAAGACTAAATCAGTGTCAGGGACAGCTACTGCTCAGTATGGGAGAAGACACAACCTCTTATTGCCAACTCTTAAATTAGAAGTAGAGAAATCAAGCCTTTTATCTTTTGCCAGGACCATTCACTGGCTCCACAGCATTGGCAGAAGTAAGTGGTTTATAGATACCAAGTTATGAATTAAAAATTTAACTCTTACTCTCCCTCAGCCCTTCAAAATTCGCCTTCCTGCAGTCATTAACAATCCTGATCTTGAACAGCAAGGTTTGTCAGCAGAAGGTAGGCTGCAATTCTACTTTCCATGCAGGGAATAGACAAGTGTCAGGGATTTTATTTGTCTGGTTTTTTAAATTTTTTTTTTTTTAATGATGGTCTACAACAGCTTAAATTATAATTTCTTCTTTTATGCTACTACTAGAAACATTTCTCTTGAGTTTAATTCTTGCCGAGCTTCTCAGGATGTTCTTTGACAAAAAATTATTCAAGAGGAACTGCAAGGTACTACTAAGGCAAGATAACATTAGTATGGTGACTGGAAGGCACTGAAGGTCATTCAGCTCCAGGAGGAAGCTGTGATGCACAACATATGTTCAGCCCTGCTACTGTCGTCTGAGCATATTCACAATAAAAGGCCTCAAACACATATCACTGGAATGCAAGGTAAATCTGTGAATGGGATGTCAAATGCACAGTTTGTCAAAGGCAGGTTACTGTGCCTGTGTGTACAGTTAGAGGGTTCTGGGGCTTTAAGTGCCTGGAACTGTTTATTCATTGCCCGTACTGTTAATGCTTTATGCAACTACTGCTGTAGGTGACCATATCCAAAGATGTTTAGAGAGAGTGCTACAATTAAAGCCACCACTTTCTTCAAATTAAACCATGATTTCTCATTTTCTTTCCACATCACATAGAAAACCAGTTGCAGGATTGGCAGAGAATTTAGTGCTATTCCTTTTGCCACAATGTCAAAGAGACTGGCAGAGTCAGGTTGGGAGAGGGGACAAGCAGCAGAACTGGAACCTTCCTGCATCCTCTTTACAATCTTGCTGAAATTAATGTCTGTGCAGTTCATGTTTGCTGATGGTATAAGAGCCTCAGATAAATCAGTTGCTCCTGACATATCAAGTCCAATATTTTATGTCACAGAATTGGATGACAATTGTAATGCAGTTCCTTTCAACCTTCATCGCATTATTCTGGAATGACAAAAATCTTCAAGACAGAGCTATCCAATGCAGTCAGAGTTTAATGAAAGGACAGTATAACAATGGCAAGATAGGCAGTAACACTTGTAGTTTTATAGATACCTGCTCAACTTAATTACATTAACCTTTGGTAAGAAAGTTAAAAGCCAAACAAATTTAACATTAGGAAAGGTTAGAAAAATCAATAGCACAGCAGGAAAGAAAACAATAGATTGCATCTGATGACAATATAGCTTTGGTGAATGATAGGATGAGGCACAGACTATGAGGCTTTTGGTGTTCTGTCTTATTGTAGCAGCTATGGGAGGCACTTTGCTAAAGAAGGAGGAGTGTGTCAGACATACATAATAGGATTGTTGAACCCTATATTTCAGACAGACACTGAAATGTCAATCTGAACATCTTGGCATTTCTCCATTTTTAGAAACGTTACACATCACAGCACACTGTGTATTTGCAGAAAGGAGTGTGTAGTTGCCCATTTTACCATGTTCTTCTTAATCTTTTATTAAAAGAACGCAATTTCTGAAATCTTTCTAAGTATGAGAACATAATGAGAACAGAATACATAAAATATCCTAATGTGTACTCTATTTCCCACGTCTTCCTATGGCAAACCTTTTGAGACTATCTTTTGAAGCCTGTATCTGGCTGTGCTCAGTGGGTGCACCCGTGACATTCAGTTCAGTTCTTTAACAATTCCTGAGCACAGAGGTTCAGTTTTGAGCTATCAGTCTCAAACACATGGGCCTATGCATAGTGTTAATGGCACACATTCTCAAGCAAAAAGAGGAGAAAGGAGACAGCCTGTAGAGCCTCTCGAAATCACAGCACTGACAAATAAATTTTAAGATAATATTTAATTTATATAGGTATCTCCAAACATTCTCCTTCCCCTAGACTTCACCTGTGCAAACAGTAATGTACCCACTTCATCCTAATTTTTCACTGACCAACTGAATAAGGGCTATACATTCTCAGAACTATTTCATTTGGAAGGGACTTTTCAAAGTCATCTGGTCCAGCCTCTTGCTAAGAGTATGTTAGATTTGCTCAGGCTTCTCAAGGCCCTTTCCAGTCCAGGTTTAGCTGGAAAAGGAGTCACATCTCCCAGGATGGAGATGCCACTTCCCTGGGCAATCTCTTCCAGTGCTTGACCACTCTTGCGAAATTTTCTTTCCCAGTACCAAACAGGAATCTCTTGTATTGCAAATTGTGGTTGTTGCTTCTTGTCCTTGTACTGGTTTGAAAGCAAAACCAGTGAGAGACTCCAAGTCAGTAATACAATTTAATAGGAAAAAGAGAGAAAAATAAAATAAAATACATGCAATAATATAAAAGAAACAACCACCGACACAGTCAGAAATACAACCTGACACCCTGTCAGTCAGGGTGTTGGTAGCAGTCTGTATAAATGGTGGCTGCAGTCCTCCTGGATGACAGATGTGGTTCTGTTGAAGCAGTGCTCCTGTAGAAGGTGCAGTTTTCCTCCGAAGATCCAGCGATGATGTGGAAATGGTCCGATTTTCTTCTGGGATCCAGTGGAAAAGGGGATGGCTTGGTGTTCCAGAGTTCAGTTTTTATCTAGGTAGGAAAGGCTTGGCTCCTGCCCCTGGCTGGGGCATCTCCCAATGGGATGATGTAATCTTATCAGTCACACAATAGGACTGAATGGCCCATTAACAGAATATATCTTCTGGAGGAAGGATGGGTTGTGAAAAGATAATGATGATCATCCCCCGATCTTATCAGATGGCACATCAGCAGAGGATATCTCCCACAGAGATAAGGATCACCACCCCTCCCACATTTCAACAGATGGTGATAGAACACACATTTTTGCATTGTACCCCAGGACAGTCCTGTCTCAACTTAAGGAAGAATTCCTGTTTTCTTTCTGCCCTCCCACTAGGAAGTTTAAGACAGCAACATGATCTGCTGCTCACCTTTTCTTCTGGAGGTTTGACCAAGACAGCTCACATCAGCCTTTTCTCACATAATATATTCTAGACTTCCCTAAAATATATTTCCCTCATTT